TGCTGATACTGCTGCTGCTGTCTGCATCACCCTTCTTGTTGTTTGTGAGTTCAGGAGGAAGTGTTGTGGTTGTGGTTGTGGTGGCGGTTGATTCGTCATTATTGGGTGTGTTAGCAGTGTCAGAATTCTTGTTTTCTGAGTTATTGGTCTCACTTGTGTTGTTGTTTGATTGGGAATCCTCTGTTGTGGGCGTCTGGTCCTGTGAAGTATTGTTCTCTTGTGTGCCAGGATCACTTGAACTGGTGGAAGTAGAGGAAGTGAGTGTTGCGTTGTTTTGAGTTTCCTCCCTCTGTCCTTCTTCTTTGTTGGGCGAAGTGGCACTCGTTGGAGCTTCACTGTGAGTGCTCTCACCTCCCTCAACATTGCTAACTTCTTTCTCATCACCTTTACCCGGGTTCTGCTTAGAGACTGGTTTACTAGGAGGATTTAAATCTGTAGAAGGTGGTGCTGGAGAGATAGTTGTCAAAGATGGATTACCAGAAGATGAAGCAGAGTGAGATGAAGCCAGTTGTGCCTGAGAGTTCTCTCTGTTTACATCTTTACCACCTTTCTCACCCATCGCTGCTTCTTCAGGAAGTTCCTCAGCTTCTTTCTCCACAGCTGCTACCTTTTCCGTCTGTTTCAAGTTCTTTTCTTTGGTTTGTAAAATTGGTGAATCTTCTTGTACCTTATGTTCTTCTCTTTCATCCTTGTGAGTACCAAGACTTCCAGGTTCACCAACGTCTACAGATGCAGCAGGAGGACGAGCAGGACAGTTACTCTCACCTTCATTGCAAGGGGAATTAGCCTCAAGTTCAGTTTCAGTGTCTGCAGCTGCCATACAGAGACACTCAGCACTCACAAGCAATGCAAGAATAAACAACACACGATACATACGCATTGTTACAAAAACTTATTAAAACTCTCTGAATTCACGTTTGTGGAGAAATAAGGAAAGAGAGAAAATCAAAACAAAAACAAAAACGCACACAAGAATTTAAAAAGAAAATCCATGACAAATCCAGAAGCACTCAGATGGGGGCTAATTAAAGGAAAATAACAAATATTATCCAGTATTAAGAAGAACATTCCAATCATTAAAGGAGAAAAAAAGAATCCCAGACCACAATGACCAGAACCAGAAATCACACAAATAAGTTTCTATGGATAAGCTTGGCAACGCATACGCAATCATGATCGACGAAGTATCTGTTACTCTTTTTCCTTACTCAGCACACAGAAGATCAACAAAATACTGCAGAGCAAAGCACACAACGCCAAGCAAAATCATCAAGCAAATAAACAGATATTAATTATTAGCCCAATTTACCCAGTAAACACAGAAAACACCAACTAGGGGTGTAAGTCTATATATGTGTATATATATACGCAATTATAAATATAAATTCATCTGTTATTATTATTTCCTTTTCCCACTGCAAAAAGCAGTTCATCATCATTATCACAGTGCAAGCCCACAGGCACACACAGAGAGAGTCTCCAAGAACACACACACACACAATGGAGCAGCAATAATAATTATTATAGGATAAACGTAGAGAGCAAAAACACACACAATATCATTAAGAAACAAAAAACAAAAAAGAAGAATCCCAACAGGTGGAAGATTAGTTAGACTGTAGAGATGCATGCAAAAAAGAAAAGAAAACAAAGGATGACCTGAGTCACACCACACCACCACCACCACTCAATCAGCACACAAGAATACAGGCCAGTGTAACCACAATCAGTAGTGGTACACGCACCCACACAGAACTGTTGATACTACTGCTGCTGTCTGCATCACCCTTCTTGTTGTTTGTGAGTTCAGGAGGAAGTGTTGTTGTTGTGGTGGCGGTGGTGGTATCTGTATTTTCCACACCTTCTGGCTTACTTGTTGATTCACTTCCTTCAGTTGTAGTGCCATTCTCAGCAGTTGTATTATGAGAACCATTACCACTCACTGTGGGCGAAGTGTTAGGAGAGTCAGCAGAAGGTTGTGTTTCAGCAGTTTCATTGTTATCTCCATTTTCACCCTCACGTGGTGTATTATTGCCTTTGCTTCCAGTTTGGCCATCAACTGAAGACTCAACAGCACTCCCCTCAGGAGGTTGAGGAGTTTGAAGAGTAGGAGTAAGAGCAGGACCAGGAGCTGAAGGAGGTTCAGAAGAAAAAGAATCACCACCACCAGATACAGCCTCACCAGCCGCAGCTTCCCCTGGTTTACCAGGAGCACCAATTGGACCCGGTTTACCAGGTACCTGGCCATCTCCTTGAGGATTATTTATACTTGGACCCGGTTCCTGTAGTGATTGTGGACAAGGTGCATCACTAGATCCACCACTGCAACTGTCTTCCTTCTTAGTTTCCTTAGTAATGCAAGTTTCCGACCCAGTAGACGTCTCACAATTAGTACGAGAAGGTTCAGAATTACTATGGCCGGTATTACAAGTAGTACCTGAAGCACAAGTACCCTCACCATCAGGAGGAGGAGGAGGACCAGGTGGTGGTGGTGGACCTGGAGGTGGAGGTGGGGCACCAGCAGAAGGGGCAGGAGGGCAAGTTTCACCATTAGAAGGTTCAGTACAAGGACCAACTGGAACAGAATCAGAACTCGCCTCAGCTGTCCCACACAAAGAGACAACACTCAACACCAAAGCGAGAAAACACAACACACGAGACATCATCATGACAGCAAGATTTAGTTTGTTGCTATAGGCCACTTGAATGCAGAAGAAAGAAGAAATTAAGAAAATTAATGGAAACACTCAATACATTAGAAACACACACAGAGAGAAACAAAGGAGAGCACACCACACAAGAATCAGTTACACAAAACAACATGAGGAACAATCGAAAAAATAATTAGTAACACCAAAAAAAGAATACTCCACCATCACTCAGAGTACAACGGAAGAGCACCCCACAATACCCAAATAAGTAAGAGAGAGCCAAACACACACACAACCAATACTTAGAAGCAAAGCCACAATACAAATCACACGGCGCATCATCATCATAACGGACATAGACACTCTTCTTCTTTTTGTCATCTTCGTCACTTGAGGTCATAAGTCTACATAGGAAGTGTGGAAGAGAAGAAGAAAGAAGAGAAAGGGACACACATAGTTAGTGGACGCAGGACACAAATACTCACAGTGGAAGAGAAAAAGTAAAGCAGTGACTGCACAGTAAAGCAGAAAAAAAAGAATATTCCGCTTGTAATGATAATATGTACCCCTTAATAGAAAAAGAACACCCCACAATACCCAAATAAGAGAGAGAGCCAAATACACACACAATACCCCATGGCTATAGTTTATGTAATAAATTACTGCACAGACACAACTGTGTGTACTAGCAAGAGATGTATACCGTCAGTGAGCAGAACAGCCCAGTTTTCTGCACACACACAACGGTAAAAGCAAGTAATGGAATTATTAGAAAAAGAACACACAAAAGTAAAAAGAAAAGAAATTTGAATTAAAAGAGAAAGCTGGTAAACAGATTATTAGTTTATTCACCCATGGGGGATATACGCAATTATGATTATGTTAGTTTAACCATTATTATTATTTGTCCTCAGATGACACCCACCGTTCAGTACACGGTAGCGGAGAACATCACAACCACAGTCAGTACCGGTGCTGCAGTACGCATCCACACAGAACTGATACTGCTGCTGTCAACATTAGCCTTGTTCGTTACAGTGGAACCGACGTTGGTGTTAATCTCTGCGTTTGGTACAGGAACAGGAGATGGAGTGGTAGTTGGTGCTTCAGTGACAGTGTTCTCGGTGCTCGGCTGAGTAGTGGAAGTGGTTTCTTGTAAAGCTGTATTTGTAGTGATACCTGCGGAAGATTGCTGGGTAAGATTAGATTCGGCAGATGTACTGTTATCTGTAGTCTCGTCAGTGGGTGCTGTTG